AAATCAAATCCACGCCCTCAACCCGGCCAACGGCTCATTTAGCAGCCATAACATACAACAAATTATGGTTTGCGTTTTCATAATCAGCATTTTTCATTTCCTCTGCCGAGGTGTGTTACGCCCATGGACAAAGGGAATTTTAACTAAATTATGCTGGTCCTTTGTTTTGGGCTGATGCCCTCTGGACACGTCACGAACGGGTTGGTTTTGGGTTCCAGTGTTACGGTTATGTTTCCGATTTGAATTTGTGTTCGGGTTGGGCCACTGTCCCTATCCCTCGGGAGGTTTTTCCTTTGGGGTGTGTGACAAAAACATAGCAGAAAAACAAATGTTTCTCAAAGTCCGACTTCGTTACCAGAACTGCCATAAGAGCTGGGTATCGTAAACCATAACTAGCATTTTCGGTTTCATTAGAAGCGCTTTTCCTAGTTTTTCCTCGCCTTTCTTGCTCAGTTTACTACCCCTTTTTTTGTGTTTTGTGTTGCCGATTGCACTTTTTGCCAGACATTTTTCCAGTTTGGGACTGGTATTAGTTTTTTCCAAGGCATTAGTTTAGTGCTGGGCGTGTGCGGGCTTTTGATTTATGGTTTCGAATTGTGCGAGTTGCGTTTTTTATGTTAATTAAATTGCTTAGCCTGAAGCTGGGAAGGGGGTTCGGGCTGTTATTTCTGGTCTGGCTGCTGAAGTGCATGTTAGGCGATGCCTGACTAAGTGCACTTGGCCAACCATCCAGCCAGCCAGCCAACCATTTCAATCCTGGCCAAAAGCAAACCGACCCACGAACCGCTCTTTGACCCGCCTGAGCAAATGAACTGCAGCACGCTTATTGTCACTAAATGCTGTTGACCCAGCAGGAAGGCTTGGTCTTTTGGTCCTTCGGTCCTTCGGTCCTACGTACTCGATTCCTGTTGAGTCGAGGAGCAATGGCAGTTATTAGAAATTCCATTATGCATGTGTATGGGCCGCCCATGTGGGCTGTGTCAACACTGACGGTCGGGATTCAGGATCCCGGACAGGTGGCTCGTCATCTGCTACACACTGCAAATGAATAATTTCAGAAATAATGTATGCCCTTTTAATTTATTCGAACAAAATGACAGAAGTGTGGTATTTAAATCATTTACTTTAAATTATTTAAAAACCTTCCCCATTCGTATTGGGTATTCGGAATGCTGTTATTATTTTTTAAAAAATGATAGGAACACGACTTATAGATGATACTTTGCCCACACATATCAACTGATTTGAATACAATGACGTAAAATATCTGAAATGACTTGAAATCATTCCCGAAACCTTTTGCTATAAATAAATTTTAATTTGAAAAAAAAACACATTTTCTCCCTGTGCAGCCATTCCTTCTGAAAACGCAAACTCCTTTTCGAGGAGGTTGCTATTTCTGGTGAATGATAAATCTTTCAATGAGCTGGCAGTCAGGCAATGAGGTCGTTGATGGGAAACCGAAACAGAAACAGGAGCGGCAGTGCGGCTATGGAGACTCCGGGTAAACATGCCAAGGAGGAAACCGGGACTCAACAATCCCCATTTTCAATGGAAAGCTGCAACAAAAGCCTATTAAATACCGAGACAATGCCACCCACACGTACACATGAATGCACATAGATATTACATGCCAGCTGGGCCGATATTTGTTTGTTTTCGGGCCTCCCTTGATATGGAAAGCGATTCTGCAAATTATTATGCTGTGATATTCATATGGGCCCCCATCCCACTACTCTCAATTCGGCATCTTGTTTGCTTGGGTGCCTGCCACGTTTTCAGGATTTCAGGAATCCGTTACCGTAACGCAGTATTTAGCCAGCAATTTCAAACTTGCAACAAATTGAAAACAGTTTAGGCCAGGCCCTCAAAAGCAATCGATCAGTTTGAAACTAAAACTAATTTTCAGATTCCCGAAACAGAAATTTCGGATACTTTTTCAGGTATCCTGTGGAAGCACTTAAAGAAATTTCTATGCCAAAAGCTTGAATTTGAAGTATAAAGTTGGCAATAGTAATTTACTTTATCAAATTTATAAATATGGGTGGCAATATTATAAGCAATATGGGAAACCAATCTTTATATAGACATCCATCAAGGTTTTTCTCTCTGTGGAATGAAAATGTAGAATCTTTCCCAAGCTAACCTGTGGTTAGTGCTAGAATTCAGCAATCTCCCGGAATGATGGCAAAAAAATGGCATCTAACTTTTCAATTTGGTATCACTTGCGGCTTCGACGAATGACGCACTCCGGCCAGATTGGAAAACAATAAAACAGGGAAAGGAGAAGTGTTGTGAAGAGAGCGTGAAAAGTGTCCACTGGTTGTGTAGATGGGAAAGTAGTTTTCCCAGGGAGGACGAAGACAAAGGAAAGGAAACAAAGAAAAGGGGACAGAGGCCAGGTGCATTGATATTTAGAAGGAGGCATCAGGAGGCAAGCAAATCCCTCGATTCAGGATAATATACCTCACTTTTCCTGTGAGATGGGGTAGGTCTCCTATTTTCCGGATCTTCACTTTGGCTGCCATGTAAACAAATCGCAAAAGGATAAGGACAAGGCACTTGTAAGCTGGCACTTAGCAGAATCGAACAAATATGTGACTTTTGCACAAACTTTTTACCTTTCCAACTATATCTGGAGTGTGCGTGTGTGGATTTATAGACATTGTTTGGCTGCTCTGTGTTGCTTTTCCCACAGAACCCCGGTGCCGTGTGCTATGATTTCTTGCTGCACCTTCCACCTAAACACTAACAAGCAAAGTTTTCCAAGCAATAAGCAAGTATTTGCGGTTGCATTTCGCCGCTTCTGCTGCTTCTACTGCTGCTCCTGCTGGGAAAACTCTCAGCGGGCGGGATCCGGCAACTACACTTTCCAATTTTCAATTGGCAAACAAGCGGAATTTTCGATTTCAGTGTGCAAATATTTATGCGGCTAGCAGGGACTTTAAGGTACTGCTTAAGTTAAGGCAGGTATTTTACCATCAGGTATTCGTAGAGACTAAGGGTATATAGTGCTAGGAGAGGTTTATTAAAAAGAGTAAGGTAAAGGTAGATTGCTTAAGTTTTACAACTACTAACTAAAAATCCAAAAAACCTTTTGCTATAGTTCCCATCACATGCCTTAGTCTTACTTTGATTCATTACAATTAGTAATGGGTACTTTAAAGTCTTTACAATACCAGGATTACAGGACTGTTTTTTCTTTGTAATTTACTGTTGCTCCGGCACCGGTGTCCCTGGCCAGGCCACTGAGGCAGTTGGCCAATTATGCTGGCAGGCCCCGTTGGTCATTAAGGTCAATGTGCAAGAATTCATTTTACAGCCTGCAAATAGAGTAAATGTTAAAGGGCAGCACGACAGTGGCATTGGCATAATGAAAATCATGCTGATTTTCCCTGGCATTTTCCATGCAGTCGCCGAAGATATCGCCCGATATGCAAAGAACTCCCGAAGGTAATGAATTACGCACAGCTGGCATGTACAAAAAAATGAAAACAATTTTATTTTATTCGCCTCGCGAGAGATTTACAAGGAACTGAATCCTTGCCTCGCATTCCATGGACTTTTCCTCGGCTTTTTCTCTCGCATTTTCCCACCCTTGTCCCCCTGCCCCTTCATCCACAAAGGGACTGTTGGGAAAGCCGCAAATTATGTGCCATTATTCTTAAGGGCACAGCCGCATGAAATGTGACCCAAATAAGATATAAAAAATTTTTGAGTGCCTTGTTAGGCTATGTTGGAAATGTTGGCAAACACTTGTAAAACACCAGCTCCAGAGAGGGACAAAATCATTGGGTATTACATGGGTTAGAGAGAGCAAGAGAGAGAGAGAGAGGGGGGGACTCGTTGCCTTGGCGCCTTGAATTATGCTACGCATTTGTTGACAAACGACTCTGAAATGGGCGGTCATAAAGTTGCCGGAAATTGGCGTTGATTGTTTGGTAATTAATAAAAGTTGGCAAAGAAAACAAGAAAATTGCCTAAGTAAGTGAAGGTCGCGGCAAACTCAGGCCTTAGATCCATAAATCTAGGAAAACGTTTGTCTTAAACATTAAAGCCTGGCCCCAGAATGATTTATAGTAAACCATTTTAGTTTCGAATTTCTATATTGAGTGGCTTACTAGTAAACATTCAGTTACGAACTGACTTAGTTGGGTCTTACAAATGGCCAGCCGTTTTTATTATAATATTTTCAATTTAGTAATATTCGTTTGCATAACTGCCCCAACAAAATCCCACCATAATCTATCAAGCTTTCAATGGTCTGCAAAAACATTTATAAATCATTTAAGCGCCAAATATGACAATCAGTTGTCGAGGAACACGAACAAAAACAGGTTGAAGTGGGGGTTTTATTCTGTCAGACACTTCAAATACCCTAGAACTATATTTGATTGCTATCATTGAGTTTTAGTTTTTAGTTCAAAAAAGAAATAGTAAGGGGAAAAGCTGGGTATTCTAAACCTGCATGCTAGCATATTTTAAATATATTAAAACTTAATTAGTTAGATTTATTTTAATCCAGAGAAAAGTCTATATAAAAGAAGAAAGAAAAAAAGAGGAAAGAAATATATCCTTTTTTTGTAGAATTTTTAAAACTTTTCCAAAAGGTATCCATTAAGTGTAGTTCCCAAACTTGTAGCCACATCAACTCCTTACGATTAGAGGGTATCGCAAAAAATTGACCAGCTAAATTGAGTTTTCAGCATATTTGCATGGCATTTTAAGCAATTTGGCCGCGGGCAAACCCAACACCGCGAAAACCAATGCCAAAAACAAACGCCTGCAACTGAAATGCAAGCAATTGCGGTGCAGTTAAGCGCCGGATTATGTGTTATCAGTGTCGCCGGCGAGTCCGCTTTTGGACAATATTTCAATAATTTATTAAAATAAATACACTAAATTGGAATCCCCCGGCTTTGCATTCGCACGTAATTCCATCAGCGATTTTATATATCAACCCCCACTCATTTTGTTTTTTCTCTCCTCTTCCGTTGCAGAGCTCGTCGAATGCGCGCTGCGCAATGTCAATTTAATAATCGAACCACCGGCGGTGCGACGGGGCCAACATGTGGTGCTGCGTTGCATGTACGACCTGGACGGAGCTCCACTGTACTCGGCAAAGTTCTATCGCGGACAGCTGGAGTTCTACCGCTATACGCCCGGCGAGTTTCCCAATACGAAAGTGTTTCCATTCCCTGGCATTAAAGTGGATGTAAGTATTTTTTTAATTAAAATATATATATTACGGAGGGGATTTTGGTTGTTGAAACCGACTATTGGTACACCCTCGTTTATTATTTTAGCAATTAATGCACTTACAGTATTTTCTAAAACAAATAATAAAAATGGTATTTTGTAAGCAAACCTTTGCGAAGCACAAAGAGGGAAAAAATATCTTTACTACATGGGTTTTTCTCGATGTTGTCTATCATAAGATTGGACTTCTTTTCGAGAAAAATGTCATAAAGGGTATAGCAGATCAAATTATAAACTATGAAAAAACTTAATCGCTCAGTGTAGAAACAGGAATTTTCCAGAAGACCAAATCGTTAAAGGAACTCATTCCCGCAGGCTGCACTTTTTGCTGGTCACTTCGACTCGGCCCATCGACTGGCAGAAGGCAGAAAAGGAGCCAACAACCGGACTGAACCGTGGCTCCACTTTGATGTCCTTAATTGCGCGCACACTGCATTTATTTATATTGTATATTTTAAACTTTCCGCTCATGCATATTCAGTTTGGCAGTTTTATTGTTATTGGCGGTTATTCAAAAAATGCCAGGGGACACCTGGCTGGTAGGACACCACCAGGACGCCAGAATGCCGGAATGCCAGCTTTTGTGGGCGCGCTATCAACGCGCGGCTATCTCCGGCAAAAATTTCATTTAAATTTTTGCATGCTGCGTCTGAGTTTTGTCGCCCACCTGCAAAAACTGCAATCTGCCTAGCGCAAAAAGGGGGCGGCGCTGGCCTGAAGCTGAGGCTGAGGCTGAGGTCGGAGAATTGAGTCTCGGATGGGGTAATTCTACTTTGGCTAGATTATTGAAAAAGTTTATCCAGCCGACGGTAGTGGTAGTAGTAGTAGTAGTAGTAGTGGCAGAGTGGGTGGTGGCAGGCAGATCCTTGCAATTTCGTTGCTTCGATAAAGTTGCTCCGAATCTGGCTAAATATTTCATCAGGCTATTGAGTTTGTGCCAGCGAGTTTATCTTTAGTTTTTGTAGTCTTCTTTTTATTTTATTTGGCTGTTTTTTTTTTGTGTGTTCTTTTTTGTCGTCGAAAACTTTTACTTTACCTAGCCGAAGGCAATTTTTTGTGTCCTTTTGCTCTGCCTGGTGCTGGCTGGTGGCTGTGTTTGTATTTGTTTGTTTTTTAAGCTGTTTTAATAAATTTAAGTGCATTTCTTTGTTGGTCTTGATGTCAGATTGCGGACATCTGAGCGATGGCAGGTGGGTGTCGATTTATATAGTTTTTCCAAGTGCAACATAACATTGCTGCTTATGTATGAAAAACAGAAACTTGAAAGTACTTTACCAATATAGGTAACGACTAAATTGTTGACTTTTCCCCTTAAAGGGATACTAACATTAGATTTTGTTTGTATAATTTTTAAAGATTTTAAATATGGGCCGGGTCTTTAATCCTTTCCCTGCCTGTGCGTACTTGAACTTATTCGTTAGCCCATGATTAATACCTGTATCCCCTCTTCTCGGTCAACAGGTAAGCAGCTCGAATGCCACCCAGGTACTGTTGCGCAACGTGGGATTCGGTCTCTCTGGCAACTTTTCATGCGAAGTGACCGCCGATGCCCCGCTCTTCTCGACCGCCACCGCAGTGGACACCATGCAAGTTGTTGGTAAGTCTGACGACTCTAAGCTGATTCAACCAAATTGGCCTAAAGTGCGCTTAAAAGCTTTCAAAGGAGCACAGAGTGAGTGAGTGAGTGTATCAGCTATTTCGGACAGCCTTTGACATTGCTCGCCTTTGATCGCCGGCCAGCGTTCCGTGGCCGAGTCCCGAATCTAGAATCCAGAATCCTGTGGCTGCTGCTCTTACTCGAACGAGGAGGTAAAGTTTTTTGGCTCCTTGGCAATTTGTTTTTGGCCGGTGCCAAGGTCGCAGCAGATGTTTCTGCTGGTTCCCAAAGTTTTGCGCTGAAAATTGCGTCATTAACAGGCCATTTCGTCTTTGCCAGATAAGCGGGTTTTGCCGGCAATGAGGAGAGATGGTGGTTCGTTAGGTGGCTCCTTCGGCTGTTCTGAGCGAAGCGCTCTCGTCTGGGGTCATTTAGTAGTCTTACCTGTGCCCCACGCATTTCACGGCATTATGCGCTTTAAATGAGCGTGGAGCGGCGCGCTCTGAATTACGAATTTAATCAGCGAGCCAGGGTCATGAAATCCAATGAGCACCAGTCCGTTTCGGCTTAACAATTATTTGCCTTTTGCGCAGCCAGCCAACTGGTGAAAGTGATACACTACGAATTAAATTTAACTGCAAACTAATGTTCAAATATTTTAAAATTGCTTTTGAATTACTTTTTTGTGGGGTCTTAACGACTGCAATATTTCCTTCTCTTAGGAGTACTAACACATATAGCTAGGAAGTTCACGAAAAACTATATATGCAGTTTAAATTTAAAGTGTATTTTCTTAATGCTTTAGAAGATTTTCGACTTAAATATTTGTTATTTCCCATAACAAAAGAGTGGAATATTTATTTAGATTTTTATGCAAGCAATTTTCGAGTCTTTTGAATATTTTATTAATTTTTCATACTTTTATTAATTCCGACCTGTTTTGCCCTAATTTCAAGTCTTAAAGGCACAACAATAGGGCATCCCACTTGATCGTCTTTTATGTGGAGGTGACTATGCAGCCATATGGGGCGTATGCGTAATGCGACCTAAATCGATGGCGCAGCTTCAGCGCTCGTCGGAGTTAATCTTTCTATCCGCTTGGCCTCAAGCATTCGAGAAATGCGCTCCGACAGCTAAATTGTGCTTTAGTCGCTGATTTTTATGCCATTTGCTGGGCAGGATTTATCCGCTATTGCCCCCTTGTTGTTCTGAACCCCTTCGAGGGTCCTCGTTTCCCGCGAGGAGGAAAAACCCGCTGTGTGTGCGTGTGTTTGATTGAGAGCTCGTCTGGGTTAATGGCTCACTGGCTGCTTGTTGCCCGGCATTAAACATTCAGATGTCTGCCGTTCTGGCCTGGCCGTTATTAGATTGCCATTGCCTTTGCACTTGCCATGGGCATCGCCATTGCCAACGCATTTGCCTTTACCCCGCGTCAGCTGTCTTGCTTTATATATTTAACGCCACATTTAGCCCATTTAATTGGCCGCTTTTGCGTAACTAGCATCTGGGGATTAAAGCCTTTGATCGTGTCCTATTTGCGTATTTGCTTTAAATTCATGAGGCCGCGCTTCAAGGACGCCTGCGAACTGATTAAAGTTTCATTACAAGTTTCGGCATTTAATTGGTTGCTTTTTGGTCCTCCGTCCCTCGCTCCTCTGTCTTTGGGGGCCAGATACATACATCAATGCTGGATAAGCCAGTTGGGAACTGACATACTGACAGCCCAGCAGCCCAACAGCCCAGCAGCCCAGCCAACCTCAAATCTCAGGCTTTGGCGGTTATGCCCCGACTTGGTGGTATCTATATCTTGCGGGCTGTAAGTTCGTTGGGTGTGTTCCTGTAGGCTGTAGGCTTCTGTGGCTTACGCCTAATGTCGTCGACACTAAAACCCCAATAACTTGCCGGCTAAACAATAAATTACTGTAGCCAACAGCAGGCAGAAACAGCCACGGACACCATATTGTTTGTACACAGACGAAAAAGAATTTCTATACAGCTCCATAATTAGATATCAATGTGGTTTGAAAACAGTTTTCCTGTCAAACAGTTAAAGTCATGGAAAATAATCCCAATTTTATATAAAAACCAACTTATAATTATTATTTACTAAAGTTGAAATCAAAGAAAAGTCAAAGGGCACATATTTTTCTCTGTGCTGCATTCTGTATTTTCTTGGTAAATCAGATTTTCTTGGCTTTAACGACTGTCCCTCATCTCATCTGCGTAAACTTGCGCTTTAATTTCATCGATTCAGCGCATAGTTTTTCCCGATGGCCGCCGCCTGATGTTTTATGCAACGAGTGCTTCAGTCAGTCAGCTGGCTGCTTTTGGCCAGGTTTAGTTGTGCGCACTCATTCGCTTATGCAGCCGCGTCGTCCTCGGTGTAAATAACTCTGAGGTTTAATCGTGTGTTAATGAGCTCAAGTGGCAATCAGATTGCGGCCCAAGGATCCACAGCGAGGAGCCCACCGAAAGGAGGTTGAACGCAAGTCTGCGTCTCGACGTCGGCGTGGCACATAAAATAAACACTTTGTCCTTGCGGGGCGGGCAATTCAAGACATTCAGCCGTCTTCAAGGACATCAGGGCTGGGTGCTGGGTGGTTGGCTGGTTAGGAGTGGGCGCCCATAGCCAGGCCCAAAAGTTATGCTAATTCGGGCTTTCATTAAGTCACAGCTACGCCGACGCCGACGCCGCCGTCGCCCATCTTCTTTGGCTGGCACGAGTCAAAAGTTTATAGTTGGCAAACATTTGGGCAGCCTTAAGTTTAATAACTTAATGACACGAGTCGAGGCTAAAACCAAGTGCAAAGTAGGCTGGTCAGCAGCTAAATTAAGCTCGAAAGGCCCAAATTTACACTGCTCGAGATTAGTAATAATTTTTGTTAAAAGTCTTTAAATATTTTCTATGGCAATTTTAATGTTTACAATGTATGTTCAGATTCTGAAGAATCATATAAAGGCTTATTCAAATTCAATAGCAGAAAATAGGCATAGCATTTATATAATTTCTTTCTCTATTTCAAGAATTTGTTCTTTTGTCCAGTGTTCTCTCACAGACTGACCCTCATTAGAGGGAATTTGACGGCAGAGTCTCAAAGGCAATGCCGTAGCAAAAGCCCGGCCAAGAGGCATTCGATGGATGCTGGCCCGCAAAAAGGTCAAAATCTGCAAGGCAAAAAGCGCAGGCGGCTAAAAGAAAAACCGAGGATGGAGGATTAGGAAGCGGGCCACACAGAGACCCAGAAAGACCAGAAAGTTGCCTTGAGGCGGGAAAAAGAGCAAAGTTGCCGCCGCCTTTGTCATGGAAATTACTTTCTTCATTAGTTACTTTGTTGCTCTCTCCGGGTCTTGTGGTAGTAGTAGTTCCCTGGCTATTCCCCATCCTGGCTCCATCCTGGTTGACTTAATTAAAAAGTTAAGCGTGGCGTGGAGAGCCAGGATCTTCGTCTTGTGGTTGTGATTGAAGGGTTCTCCCTGGGCTTCCGCCTCCACTTATGCGCCTATTAATGTATTTTGTGTCAGTTGGGTCCAGCTAATTGAATTGTTCCAAACTAAACCTTTTCCCATTTTCCGGCATCCAAATTGTCATTTGGATTTTTTGTAATCTCATTCATCAAAATTCCTATAAAATTCGTTGGCCTTACATGGTGTGTTTTTCATGACTCACTTATAATTTTTATGCAAGAAAAATAAAGTATATGCAATTGGGCTTCATCTTTTGAAAGGGCATTGAATAAATTTGCATTTAAACACTAATAAAAACATAGAACTAATTTAATCATATACTTATATTAGTTCATTTGAATTGTAAAGAGGATTACACATTTATAAATATCAAAAAATAAATAAAGAATTTGTAATTGAAAAGTTTTATATTGCAATTCACGTTCCCCCATTCATAATCAGCATTTAACTAATCCTATATTGCTTTGTCGTACTCGTTGAAGTTCAAATAAAATCGATCTAAAATGTATTAACCCATTCGATGATATGTTTCCTATTTTTCAGAGCTGCCCGAGAAGCGCCCACAGCTTTTCACGGAGCACACACGCTACGAGCCCGGCGATGTCCTGCGGGCCAATTGCAGCACTCCCCCGTCGCGACCGCGGGCTGAACTTACATTTACCATCAACAACATGGTGGTGAGTACTTTTAAACTCAACTTCGCTGCAATCACTCCGATGAAATATTACCGACCTGGCCGGACGGTCTGCTTCAATTTATTTCATGTTCATGCTGGGAGAGTGGAATACAAATCTGACAGCGGGTCAGCGGCTATTTTGTGTTCAAAGCCGAGCAGATCCTTTGAAGTACTTGTCTATTCTGCTGAGAAATGAACATGAAAATGGGCTAGGACAAGACTTTAATCAAAAGGGTTCTACTTCGTTTTCTTTTTTGTTGGTTGTGTGGTGTATGTGTTTTTTTTTTTGCAAGCCACTTGCCTTGGGGGCTCGTCCATCCGTCAACGTGGCGTATGCGCAATTTCACAGCCTGCCAGCGAGCGTGAGGATTGTCATGTGTATTAACAATGCATACAAGGAAGCCAAAAGTGGAAGAGTGCGAGATAGGCGGCCGCATCTGTGGCCCGAATGCCCGTTTTGTCATTTAGTTACTGTGATATACAGATTTCTATGCGGTCGACTGGCAGTGCTGTCGAAATTTTGTAGCTAAAAAGAACTTCCTTTTTTAATGGTTAAGAAGTATACATAAAGGAATAGAATATAGGAATTCAAGGCATTGAAAGGTAAATGCAAAAGCAATTCGAAATAAACAATCCTTGAAATATGTTTGATTTTGTAAACAGCCTTTTAGTTGTGAAAGTAAAGCCATGAAATTGATTTTTTGTATTTAATATTTTTATGCAATCGGTAATGTCGAAACAAAACAAAACAAAATTTGAGGAAGGGAAAAACCGATTTTTCTTAGCCAAGCTAAAACCATTAAAAGCTTATATGTCAACGCTGTAGACGAAGAACAGTAGTCGCATCTGTGGACTGTGCTGGCTCCTTCTGAAAACTCACATGGCTGTCATTCCTTGTGGATTTTCACTTTTGCTTACTGTCGTGCTAGCATTGTTGTCCTGCGAGCTGTTCCATTGCAATTTTATGAATATGCATGCCACATGCTCGCCCCTCTTTATTTTCCTGCTTATAATTTCGACCCAGGCCCCGATGTCAAGACCAGTTCAGGTTCAGAGCCGGTCAAGGCGAGTCCCTATGCTTTTCGCTCTATTTGCGGTTGAAAAGGGTTGTGTCTGAGCCAGAGGCACTCGAAACTAAGGAGTCTGTGTATCCTGAATCCACGTGCTTAACAGGTTGCCCACGTTATTTTTTTTTTTTTGCTCTTCTTTCATCATTCAACGGCAAGTGCAACTGCATAATCCTCCCTTTTGATTTTCGAGCTGCAACTGCTGCTGCTGCTTGGTATGCTAAGGATGAGTCCTGCAGAGCGATTGAGAAAATTGTTTATGGTTTGGGGTTTAGTTTAGGATGAATGCATAATTTTCTATCACAAAAGCTTCCAATTGGTTTGCGGTTGGGAAAATATAATGCGGGATGAAAAATCAACCTTGACTGGGCGTGTGTGTGTGCATCGGCTGTATAGGATTTGGGTTTTTATCAGGGTCTGGGCTATGAGCTCTAATAAAAGAAAATTTACCCCAAAATGAATTTTGAATATATTTAGAAATATTTCGATTATCAAACAACAGTTTAAATGGGAAAATTCCTGTTCATTGTCTATTTTACTAGCTCAATTACACTTTTAGGATGAACTAATAGAGCGTTTGTCTATAGTTTATAGATTAGAACTCAAATGTAGTAGAATAAAAAATATTTCCCAATAGAAGAAACTCCTATTTCTGGTTGCTGATTTTATTAGCAGAAATCCTCTTTAAGGAGACCCTCTCTATTAGTCTTCAAAATTCTGTACTGTTGTCAATGCCGTTGAAAAATGGTTGCCACATTCCAGAAGCGCACTTGGCAATCTCGCATTAAACATGATAAATGAATTCAAATCATTTGCACCGCAATAACTCGCAGCCGGAACGAGGGGGAGAAAATTCTGGGTTTGTGGGTGGGAAGAATATTCAAACGGGTTGTGTTGCCTGGAAATGAAATGATAGCTTATCGGCAATGTCTCTCCAAAAATGCCAGTGATGCTGTGCGCTGTGGTGCGGTGCGACTGTGGCGGGTCAAAGGGTGTCTAAAGGGTGGCCCGAAAAGAAGCTGCAAGGACATCGAGAACTTTTGGCAATGGCAACCAATGGCTGAGAGACAACAAACAGTAAGCAAACGTGGCAGACATTGACTAAAATTGAGTAGAAAACGATACCGCAGGAGGAAGATATATTACAATTGCCGATCACAGGAAACAAATGAATATTTCATGCTGTGCAAATCAACATGGGGTGGTGGCTGGAGGAGGATGTGGGGTGTTCGTGGGCGGAAAACACACCAACGCACACACTCAGGCACTTCCGACATTTCCTGCAAAGTTTACGTTAAAAGGTGCGCCGGCAAGGAGCCACAACTTTCTGTTGACAAAAGTTTTTGCGGTAAAATGCCACAGGAGTAATTTGCAAGAGGTCCGGACCCAAAACTCCTTCACCCCCAAAAACGCCCGAGAAACCATTCGACAGCACATGAGCACAGCAGCGGTCAAAATGGTAGTAAAGGAATATGTTTCCTAGCTCAAGAATGGTAATAAAATTAATGAAATTATGAAGGAAAATATTATTAATTATTAATTATTATTTTTTATTATTAAATGTATAATTTAATTTGTTGAGAAAATTTAACATAAATATAGAAAATTATAGACAAGGAACAGTAGTTTAAGTTTTTAAAAGTTTTTCAAATAAAAAGAAAGCAGTTTTGGAAGCTAAAGCAGAATGGCATAAGGCTGCTAATTTCTTGACCGCATGTGTACCTTAACATCCACCTCGGTGACATATGTGCCTTCGGTTTAAGACTGCTGCTGTGGCTCCATTTCGGGCTCCTGGTTGCTTCCGCCCTGGGGCCCAGGCATTAATCATTCGGCATGTAAATTGCCAATTAATAACTGCTGCATGTCATTTGGCGTCGGCTTAAAAATGCCACGCAGAATTTGCCATCATCAGGGTTGAACGAACGAACGAACGAGCGGACGGACGGACGGACGGAAGAACGTTGGAATCTTCCAGGGGAGCTTGCCAAACTTCTAGGCGCATTCGCATTAATGAAGACAAATAGCACTTGAGCCCTGCCAAATTTAGCGGAAAATTGAAAAAAGCTTCGAAGCCAGCAGTTGGCAGCTCCTTTATGCCATAGTTTTTGCTCTTCTATATGCCACATCTCTATATATATGTATACAGCCGTACATACCTCCAAGCACTCTTGGCAGCCAGTAAACCAGCTACCAGTTACCAGTAACCATTCTCAGAGATATTGCAGTGCTATCCACAATTTATTTGTTATTGATACGCTGGCAATGCATTGCACACACAAAAACCCATACATATATATATATATATATAAAGGGCTGAGGGACAAATTGTGCACTATATTGGATGAAATATAAAATATATTTATTGTATTTTTGCATCGTCTGGGAGGGCGGTGCCACCAGGGTATCGGTTGAACGAACGCATGGAAATTTATGCCTGCAGAGCAAGTGTCACGGGGAATAAAATTGGTAAAAACCAAAAATTTCAGATATTATTCAGTCTTGTTAGCAGATAAATAAGTAAAACTAATAGAGGATAGCTCTAAAGGTTTTATTGCACTTTTTAAGCTCAAAATCTGCTTTCATGGAGTATTTTTACCGAATACAGTAGGGATAAGATACTAAAGATAAGTAAAATAAAACTATTCGTGTCTAATATCATTCACGGTGAGATTATTATTAATATAATCCTTATTAAAAAAGGTTTAAGAATAATCAAAACATGCAAATGTCTTCGTAATAAAGCGCATAGTTCTTAAAACAAATTCAAAACCATTCAAAGCTTTAATATTCTTAACTGAAGGAAGTCGCATTCCCTTGAGTGTTTTCCCAACTTCCATCACCTTCCTAGAGAGGTATACGTTTTCAGAAACTTGTACCTAAACCCGCCTGTGGAAACATTCTCTAAAAGAATCTTCCCCACATGTGCTAATATTTCAACAATAAATAAAATAAAGCAAAAACCGGATTACTCGAAAATGTTCCATAACGAAAACCCAGGCGATCCGGAGTGCTCTCATAAAGTAGCTCTATTTCAGGCTTATCTCGGACCCACTCTCCATTAATTTTGACATTTTCCAAAACTGCTCCTAAGCTGCAGCACAAAATGCAACCATTGCCGAAATTCACACATAAGTTTTGGGCCTGAATGCTTCAGAGACAACTTTTTTATATATATATATATATATATATATATATATATAATTGCCATGTATGCAAAGAGAGGAAGCTACCAAAATATTTAGAAAACTGGCAAGAAAAATACGGAAATGGAAGGAGAACTTCTGCTGCTTAAACATCTGCTTTTTGGCATGCACATGCGTATGGGGAAAAATTATTTATCAAAGCGCAAATCCTTTCGCACACACAGAGGAAAGAGACTTGGCGATGGCAATGGCGAGTGGCAGATTCTCCTATGGCAACAATTTTACAGTGAATTGCACTAAATAACTGCCATTAAGCATAAAAGCTGTTCTCGCATGAAGGAGCTGCTGGCAGCATTTAAGCCAAATGCAAGTTTAAGCATCTTAGAGCTGGCGCAAATAAAGTGGACTTACGCAGCGAGGACATGGACGTGGCCAGGGATATAGAAACAGATCCGGATGCGGATGCGGATGCGGACAAGGAGGCGAAAGCTGATGCGGATGCAGGCCAAATGAAAGGCAAAAATGGCGCATAAGAAATACAGTTTCAAACAGAAAAAGCAAAAGGAAATGCCGAACCAAAGGCTCAGAGAAGCTGGCAAAGGCCTGCAACCAACTAGCTAAAACTGTCGTCAAATGCGTCGCTTTTTTAGCCGTTTTTTTTTTTGAGATTTTTTTGGTCCAAGCGGTGCTCTGCTGGCCATGTCCAATGTCCCAAGTTCCATGTCGAGTGTCCCATGTCCTGGTAGCAGTCCTTGCAGCCACTAATGTGTGCAATTGTGTGGGCTTCCGGCTTCTCTTTACTTCGAGGGGCAAGGGAACATTGTTGTCGTATTAAGTGCATGTAGTTACCAAGAATAGCAATGTTTGTATTCCAAGTTTATGTTTTTGAATGATAAAAATTGGTTTGCAGAACAACTTATATCTTAAAATATATTGGTACTTTTATTATAAATATTTTAAATAAAAACTTCTTAAGATGCCTTAAGATAAGCCGTAATATAGACTAAAACCCCTACAAGGTTGCCACTTTAACTCAAGGATTTGTAATTTTTCGAGAATTTTTAAATGTTTAACAACATATTTAGTTTTTATTTGTATTTGCATTTCGTTTTCCTTTCTTTCCTTTTGAAGGGCATGTTTCCGTCGGGCAAAGTTTCTAACTCATTTTTCCATCCTTTTGTGTGTTTGTGTTGTGCTCAGACGCCGCTGCTTTTTGCTGCATTGCATTAACACAGATAAAGTTCCTTGATACATAATTTCCATGCATACAGAAGTGTCTCCCAGCACATGTGGCAAATCCCCTGACTACCCAGATACTCCACCCACCCCGCCTTGCAACATACTCGTTCATAAAAAAAAAAAAAGAATTCCCTCCTTACCCGCCGCCACTGCTCTTTGGCAAACTGTGCCAACTTGCAAATGGCGACAAGATGCTGGCTGGCAAAAGTTTTTTCCTTCTGCTCGGTCCGTCCAAAACGGCCAAAAGGAGAAGTACAAACAAAAGTATTACGAGCGTGAGGGCTAAACGTTGCCAAATGCCGAAGCCTCTCCTCGCCACAGGCCCCTCGAGCGCCTTAAAATATGCAAATGCATTTGCGAGCGTAAAATAAACAGGCGCAGTCTAAAATTATAATCCCCTTGTACGCTTCCCCAAAGCACTGAGCAAAACTACGACTTTAAATCAAGATAAGATTTTCCCAACAAAGGGCTTTACAAGCTGTTCGGGAACTAACTAATTTAAGTGATGAAGAATTTCATCCACCTTTTAGTTCTAGCCAAAGAGTTGGGGAGTTAAATAGTTTATGCCTAAAAATATAGAAATACCTTTTAGTGTAAGTCCCTAAACACCAAATCTCTTGACGCTCTGAATAAATTAAATAAATATGAGAAATATTCCTTTGTTGTTTCCTGAATGTTTAGAGACTAAAAATCAACTTGTTGAGGCACAAACTTTATAAATATTTAAAAAAATCTTTCAAAAGAAAAGTAAAAACCTAAAATTATTATGCAATTTATTTTACAGATAACCAATGTGGACACCCAGTACATACGGACCATCGATAATCTGATTGCCTCGCGGATCTCGCTGAAGCTGCAACTGCAGGGCGTTCATTTTTCCAGCGTCAATCCGGCCATTTACAATAACGCTTATGGCCTGAACTCGGTTTACGGCCATGGCGGACCGGTTTATGCCCCAAATCCGAATCCAGGAGGATTACTTCTGCGCTGTTCGGCGCAAATCGGAGATCTGTACCAGGAGTACAAGGAAATCGAGCTTGGAACACCGCAAAAGGATCCGATACCGGCACGTGGTAAGTTATCGGTAGTCGCCAGTTCAATTACATCAGAACCAACTGACTTCCGTTTCCGGTTTGCTTTCTTTTATTCGCCGTCCCTTCCGGTCTTCCGCTTGCAGTTACACTCTCATCCGACTCGAGCCTGAAGAACTTTTTCAGCTCGTATTTCTCGACCTCGGCATCGGCGGCATCGCGACTCCTGCCCGGCGTCTATATGGCGCCATTTATAATGGCCATGCTAGCTGGCTTATTCCGGCTAATTGAGGCTGCATTTGAGAGCTGCGATGCCAGCCAGAAATACAAGACGGAAGCCAGACATTCGATGGCACATTCCATGGAGCGCAAGGAGCAGCAGCAGCAGTGTCCAGCTCCTCTGTCCAGCTGCAGCGCCTTCAAGGCGTCCAGACAGCAACTGGCCTGGCCAGAATCAAGGACAGAATCCGAGAATCTGGCCTAGACGTGTATGTTACCAGTTAGTTAAATCCCTAAGTAATTCAGCATATATACATTTATTTTGGGGTCTGTTAACTATACCTGCGAAATTAATAAGTATTTAAGTGATCACATAACATGGAACGAAAGGCTTGATTAAACGTTTATCACGCGAACATTTGAACATACTTAAAGTCATTCTAGTAGTAACAGAACATTTTAGAAGAGCCATTTGAAGTCAGAGATACAAATTTCAGTTCGAGATTTATTATTTAAGCAGGTCTAGGGAACGCCCCAACTTTGTTAATTTCATGTATCTTCTCATTTGATGACTGCTTTTCATGTTGACTCTTAATTTTACACCAAAAAAAAAGCCACACTCGAAGATGTGGTGTCTACTAGCGAGCTAAAGAGAAAAACGAAAACAAATTAAGTTTAAGCAAACATTTATAAACTAGCCTAGTCGTAAAGAAAGAAACCAGGAGGTTGGTCAGCCGAACAGAGGAGTTTGAAACCTATAGAGCAGGACATACACAATTCGAATATAAATGTTTACATGAACGAGATAAAGTCAAATGAATGAATATGCTAAGTACCCGTACATGAAATTACCGATTCTACTTTTAATGTGCAAAATAACAGAAATCTAAGCCGAGCTGATTAACAAAAGCAGAAAGCCAGAAATCAAAGGTGTGTGTTCGAAGGAGAGAGGGAGGAAAATGTGTGTAAAATATATTTAAAGAAACGTATTAAATTAATTTAATTTAATTTAAAGTAAATAAATCAAAGCCTTGTATGGGCATATTGTAAATGGTGGTGAAATTAAATAAAATGTGTGTTAATTTTAAATCACCGATGGGTTTTTCTTTGAGTTAAAGTGGAGCTCAAAGGTAAGTTAATCTGAAGAACCATTAAATTTCCTTTTAAAAATAGTGCTAATTCTAAGCTGTAACCCTATTTTCTTGTATTTTGGCTAGGTTTTCTGACCGGTGACCCAAGGGATTTTCCGATTCAACAAATTTTCACTGTTGATTTTTGGCGTTAAGAATTCTTACTCAACATTTTTGCAACAAAGGAGAGCTTTTCTTTCTCAGCGAGAAAGAGACCACCCTTTCTGGTTATTGTCTGCATTTAGTTTGCCTGCCAAAGTGTGAAAAAACTTGCCGTTACGCAGCGGAAGATCTGAAAGAAATATAGAAGAAGGAATCTAGTACAATGCAATGCACACTCCCGTTCCGCTTTTCCTGCATTTTTCCTTAGCTTTTCTGTTTTTTTTCCTCTTGCCATTTCCGTTCTGCATGCGCATTTTGTATTATATTTTGTGCTTCCTAGTTTTTCCCCAACGCTTTTCCGAAATTATTGAAGCGCGCTTTGTTATTTCTTTTCAATTGCGGCCGAGAGAAGTCGTTTCGCTTTTCTTTTCCTATTTCCAAGAGGGTTCGTTCCCCCTCTCTCTCTCTCTGTCTGTTATCACAAATAATTGTACTACATATACATAAGGATCCCCTTTCGGTTAGTTTCTTCTTTGCTTTTCATATAAAACATACGTATATTTAGTTGTTGATAAAATTGCACAGCGAAGAAACATTCGAATTGTGCGTGATTTCGCATAGAAAATATTTTAGCAAATAGAGGCGAGCAAATATAAAAATACACATTCAAATTTCCATTCGTTTGCCCAGCATCTGGAAAGTCCTCTGTTGTGTATTTAAATTAAATTGCAAACAAACAAGCACTGAAAAAAGATGGAAATAATGGCAACCACTCTGAAATTGATGGCAACAGAATGTATCAAAATACGAACTGAAGTTATGCGGCTCTGTGTCGGTTGCAAATTCGGAAAGTCCTTGACTTCAGCAACAAGGATCTCCGACAAAGCAAACGGAAATATGCAATCTATTTTCACTAATCCAATTGAACTTCCACAATCAGTTTTTAAGGAACTTTATGGTGGAATTACACTTATTTAGAATCATATTTCTCAGGCAATTAAAAAGAAGGCCAAAAAGCAGTTGTGTGGAAAGATTCTCTGCACTTGCAGATTTTATTTACAATTTGATTTGGGTCGTCTTTCGAATTGAAATAAATAACCAGGGAAATGCATTCCATTGCCTTGGAGAATTTTCTAACTTGGATCAAGTTACACATTAATTTGAATATGCATCCATCAATTAGGAGGCAGGGATGGCTGCATGCACTGCAACAGGATCCTTCAATTATTCGATCAACATTTCCCACGCATGTTTCGGCCCTCTCAACATCCGCTCTGATTGCAAACGGCCTATTGCAAGGGCCAATTAGATACTTTATTTCTTTGCCAGGACAGGGCCTAGTATTTTGCGATACCAAAACACTAGCTGAATTGTGGGCAGCGAAATGATGCAGTGCCTGCTAATTGAAGTCAACTAATTTGCATTGCAGATGGCACAGAACATGGAAAAGGCATGAACATGTCCTGTGCTCGGTTGTTACTAGGACCGCGGCTTATTTACGTGCCATTAGACGTCAGCGAGTACGTGTCCTGCAACAACAACAAAAAAGGAACACAAAGGTCCTGCAAAAATCCGCAATGCACTGCGAAGAGTGAACCAAATTGAGTTTGACAGACCGCAGAGCACAATTAAAATCAATTAGCTACGCGCATCGAATTACAAATTGATTTATTTATGATGTTTCCATTCCCGCCACAATCGCCGGTGGTTGGTGGTTATCCTGAATCCTGATTCCTGATTCCCGATTCCCGACGGCTCTATGAGCAGAGAGGTTGGGGTGGCGAGCTCTCTGTTTGCCTTTCTCACAATATCCTGCAATATCCTCCTGACCTGCGTGTCGCAGGATGTCAAGTGTGCATTTCAAATGGCCAACTAACGCTGTTGTCGCGTCATCGCTTCACCGTCGTCATTGGAATCCCAATCCCAGTCCCCCTCCTCTTCCCCTCTCTCTCTGACCAGACACTCTGGCAAAAACCAGACATTGCACTGGCCAGCAGCGTAAATTGATTCCATTGATTCCCGCTCAAATTTATAGTTACCCAGCGCCCGGGGGACTGTCACTTGACTTTCGCTCCAGTATCATCGAACAGAGTTTAGAGAGCAGAGTGCAGGAGATCCCCCATCTTGCACCGTGGGAAAATTCTCATCAAGATTTTCTTGTTTAAAAATGTTTGAAATGATATTAGGAATGGTGGTTGGTGAGCGCTGATTGGGGCTCTGGTTTCTTGTTTAAGGCGAGAATGTTTTTACTATAAGTCGGTTCAGTCATTATGTTTTAGGTTTAGTAAACTAAGAAGATTTATATCTCCTAAAGTTGCTTATTATATTTTTCCAGTATACCGTCAAGTCGGTGGAAGGTTTTTTCTCACCTCAACTGCCAGTGCATAGTTATCCCGCGTGATTGAGGGACCCCCATGGGGTTTTCTCGAAAACAGCCATATATACGCACACGTGATACACACACGGCGGATGTGCGATATTTATCGCCGCTTAATGGTAATATTTGTGCTGACGAGAAGCGTTCCATGTGCATGGAGCGTGATTAACGAAAATGTGCATTAAGTGTGCATGAATGCTCTGATTAATAGAGCAAGGACTCGACTCGGACCGCATTAAAGCTGCCGCCGAGCAAATTTGCAATCACTTAAAGCAAAACGCAAATGAGGCACCACGAGTGCACAATAAATACGAGTAAATGACAATGCATCGCCGATAAGCGATGTGGTCCAGTCTCCAGTCCGACTGTCTTTTTAACCCTCGCACCCGAAAAGTCCCCCCGGGGAGATTTGACACGCCTGTGGAACTCATTTAAAGTTGACAGAGCAACTACTTGGTCCGTTGGCCTGCTTTTTATCACAAATATATATTCTCGCAGCAGTAAGGGCAGCAATGAAAATAAATAAATGCGATGCTGAGCCTTGCTCTCCCACCAACTGTCTCCTTCAGCGGCAGATGTGACACTTTTCACATAACTGCAAATGGACGAAATGCGGGACCTCAATGCCAGATGGACATTTTCATCCGGAATTGTTTGCACCGAGGGCCAACGGGCCAACTGGCCATTGGACATTGGACATTGGGCCATTTACAATGGACAAGGGACATGAAGACTTATTAAGAAAAGTGTTGCAGTCTCATGAATAAACAGTGCAATGAGATGTGATGCCTTCGAACGGACTGAAAGCCAGTTGTCAGTTGGCAATTCCTTGAGTGCCGGTCACAATGGCAAGAAAAGGAAGGCAGATTTAATATATATTATAGGGAAAGGAAAAGGCCGAACGGCAACTGCAGCAGCTGGCAAAATGGAGATGACGTCAATCACTCAAGAATCTCTGAGGCTGGGCATTCATATGTGCTCATAACCAAAGTTCGTTGTGAGTTTTTAGCTTATTAGCAATAACCACTTTTTAAGAAGTTGCATACTTTATTTCTTTTTTTTAAAATTTATTCTAGTTGAAAATGTTGCTTTTGAAAGATAACACACTTTTCCTTAAGTATATTCCAGCCCCTTCAGCATTCCTTGACATGCAAAGGTAAGCTCTCCAAACTCCGCCTAACTAAATTTCGCACTCAGGCCTCGGGAAAAAGGGTTCATTAAATTAACATTTAACATTTTAAATTTTTTTAGGGACTGGAGAAGTGGAAACTTTGGCCGGACCTGCCTCGTTTATGCAAAGTGTCGCCTTATTGAATTTGCACTGGGCAACTTTTGTCATCGCCGGACAAGTGCTCCAAATGAGTGTGGAAAAGTTTGACCAGCGTCCAGGAGTCCGGGACTCTGGAGCTCGGACTGGTCAATGATCTCTAAGCACGGGGGAGCACATCACACACGACACGACACACGAGAATTGGATTTGGAGTAGGAGTCTTTCCATTATATATATATACATATATATATCTGGGCGGGAGATACTTGGACACGCGCTCGCCTTCGTGTAATAAACTTCAAAAAATAATTTCGGCAACGTCTACAACGACAACTGAAACTTGACACTTTGCAAAGAAAGTTTCTGTGGCCTGAGTGTTGTGAGGAAAATTCAGGAAAACTGAGTTGAGAAGGGGAAAAATGCTGAGAAGTGAGGATGTGGGTGTGAGAGGGTGTGGCATGGGCAGTGACAGCTTAATTTAATTTGCGCACAAATTTCCAAACTTGTGAGTTATCGAAATTTCCACATAGTTGTAATGAATTATGCAGCAGGATCTGAGCCAAGGATAACTGTTGCAAAGTTTCCATATAATTTAATTTGCCAGCATAGAAATCTGGAATTCGACTGCTTAAAAATCCAATTACTGGTGACAGTGGTCTCGCATGCCAATGCCAATCATCATAAAGCAGTGTTTGGGGCCATTCTCAAGTCCCCATGCCCATCAAATCAGATCGAATTAAGCCGTAGAGAGACAGATACGAGCTCGAGGGAGTTCGCTTTCGAGTTCCACAGTTCCACAGTTCGCACGATTCACCGCCCAGACAACAAGAAAACTTTTAATCCATATTAAATGAACTTTTCTGCACAATTTTCATCAAATTTATTTTGTATTTATTTACACTTTTGTTTGGTTTTTCATTCGTCGCCTCGCACACTGCAAGAACAACAAGGACGAAACTTTTGTCATAAAATTTGTTTTTATGTGCCCTCGATGGGGCGGAGGACTTCTTGATACGAGTATATGCCGCAACTAAACCAGAACCGGCAAATGCCTCACGTTCTTCATTATTTCCATCGAATAGCTCCGAAATTGTTTTGCTTTTTATTAGTTTTCGCTCCAGAGTTTGTCTTCTTTTTTTTTTTTCGCTTTTTTGTTGGTAGAATTAAGGGATTGTTTTTCCATTTCCCGAAAAGCTCAAA